ATTATGGTAATACAATTAGCAGGTCTCCTAGGATATTTTTACAATTTTGTTGGACTGTTGATATAGTAAAAATATTAAGTTACTTATGAATGCATTTTCCTGATAATCAAACAATATCATTATATGTCGTTTCTTTATCATATAAAATGATCAATTCTTCATTTGTTTGAAAGAATTTCTTGTTGGTAGTAATAATGCGGATGATATGCCTATAATTGTGCTTAAAATGCAATTCGGCATTAAATTGTACTGTACAATTTGTACAYGCAAGTGCCAAATGGTTCCAAAAAGTTTAGCGATGGCTGGTAGCATAATTTTTTTACAATGGACTAGTATGATTATCTATTATAAAAATAAAGCCCAACCCCGAAATACAGTGGTGGTTTTTTATGATCAATTATGGTTTGGCTTAGATAATGCTTCCACGATAAAAATTATAGTGCAAAAAAGTTGGAAATCACTGTTAAATGAATAAGWTTATAAATCACGATAATATTGGTATAATAAAATTAATGGCTTGTATACTATACTTTCTGTATAGTATAGTATAATGGGCATTCAATGTATTTAATCTRCCTTTAAATTTCTATGGGCTATGGAGTAATTTGTTGTTGAACTTATACTTCTTTACGCAAGACGCGAGAAAAAATCGACCGTTGAATTTGAGCGAGTGTGTGTCCGTCCGTTTATTCCGGTCGCCGTGTGTAGACTCTAGACCAGTGCGGTGGTGAACCTTCCTTAGGTCTAGTGCTAAATTTATGAAATCGAGGGTTTGACAATTTTTCACGTGATCAAAGTTTGTAAATACTAAATGTAGATTTTAATAAACATAGGAATATTTTATTTCTTTGAATTTGTACAAGTAAAATTTAAGAATAGCATAATTTTTCAGAATTTCAATTTATCACGTGCCATTATAATTTGACAGACATGTCACTTTTGGCACGCGTGTTGTTGGTTCGCCACAYCTGTTCTAGACGAAGGTATTAATGTATTAGGTACCATGATAGTATAGTATCTTAAATCGTGTTTGGTACTGCCACTGAGTACCTACGCACATATTAATAATAAAATATTTATGCACGATGATATTATTATACACATTTACCATATACCATGTACATATATATATATATCATATACACTATACAGTTTATATTATATGCGTGTCCGGGAGACTGTGTAGCGTATCATAATATACGCGTAATATTACATACCTACTATCATAACGACGTTTGTTATGATACTCATGAGTCATGAGGTTTCTAAAAATACTGTTTTATAACGTTGTTTTTGTTTTTCGTTTAATTTCTAATTTTAGCATCATTTTAGCATCACATTACAATACATGAAATTCCACATATCCAACATCTGCGAAATAAGTTTTACTTCCCCGGCACGTATTTGTAAATTTGTACCCCACCCACAATTATGGAACACATTATTTATCAGCACACTATTTCGAAAAAAATATAACTTCATCCGATCATACTTGCAACATGCACAATTATTTTATAACCATGCAACATTTTGTTTAGTAGGCCAATTTGTTTCTGAGAAGCAAACTGTGAATTCAGGCCAGGGTATCCACGCAGGTAAGAATATTGCTCTACAGAAATTGAAAGATGTAAATGTGTATCTCGTATGGTCCAAATGACGCCACTAATTCGTAATAATTCGTACTAATGTATATATTATAAATTACAAGTTAGAYACATTCATCATATTAAATTTTACATACATTATAGTTTATATAATAATATATCGTATAGAAATTACATGGCATATAATTCATTGTATAATGCTCAATACTCATTGTAAGTAGCTATTAGCAGTATTATTTTTTTCTACAAAATTTGTGTAATGTAGTAATCCATTTAAAAATATCCCTAAATGTCGCATTATACGTTCCGATTATAATGTATAAAGAGAGAGGACAATAGGTCTTTTTTAAACGAAGTTGTGTAACATATACACTACGCGAAGAGAAATGTAATGAGAAAAAAACAGGTCAAAATGATTCTTAAAAAATTCATTTTTGTTGTCGTCCGACAACAAAAGGAGGTACATGTTTTTTCTTTCGTAAGAAGATTAGTTTGATATAATATGTGTGCTTAAGGCGTACTAGAGAGTATTGAAATGAAGTGGCCTTTGACATTGTTGCCGCCTAATCCGATTTTTCGTAAACACATCGGTACTTATATACCTGTGTCAAGAACGTCTTTTTATATTTAAAAAAGTAATAATGATAATAATAATACATATGTATTTTGTCTCCAAGGTGGTTCACACGCCCCCKACCATGCATCCTTAAACCTTTATATTCACTTTATCCTTCACAGTGTCTGAATTACGAGTATATAGGTAGAGGAGGCACCTTCTTACTTTATAATAAAATTTGATAAGATATTGTTATAATACACCGAGGGATTAATAAAGACGTATAAGGAAATATCACTTACCTATGTGAAAATGATTTTACGAAACCTTGTTATCTCGCATACGAGATAATAAACATATACATACCTTGACAGTAGTAGACTAGTAGTATTATCATATTCATTCACATCCACTTTATTTTATTTTATAATATTATTAAATTAAATTTATACTTGTCTTTTAATTTTTATTAACGTTTGATTGACCAATTGTTTATTTTCGTTTTTAATAATAGTCGGTTCCACTTGTTTTGGTTTCACGTTAGCCACATTATCGTTAATCACACGATCGGTTCTTATTGGTTTTTTTTTTTTAACAATTTTAATCGGCTTAATAGAAACAGGTGAGGAATCAGCACGGCCTCCAACTTTGACTTTTGTTTTAGGCTTCATTAAAGTGACAGGTGGTTTATCCCAAATATCCTCTAAACATAACAAAATAGATCCATTAATTTATCTATTTTCATGTTATTCAAAATAACTTAAGCGTGACAATACCACTTTTAGTATAAATATKATTGATATGTATGTATTTATTTATTTATTTATTTATTGTCCTTATAAAGCTTTTTTTTAATGTAGAGTATTGTCGATATTTTTAACATTTGTAACCCCATCATTGTTAACAACATTGAATTTATAATTTTAATYATAAAATAGAGGGAAAATAAAGAAATAATAGGAAGTGTACGCACAACAGTAACAAAAATTGTAATCAGTATATGCTGTAGCTTAATGTTTGGAAATATGTAGAATAATTACTTGTTTTTGTCCTGTTATTGTATTCGAACAATTCGTCTTCAGATGAGTCCTCTAGGAATATCGTTCTGCGTAATCGCTCGGTTCGGTTAAACTCAAAAGATTCTTTTGTGTTCTTTGCCATTTCTTTGATTTATCATATTATACAATGTTGGAAAATAATTTTAATTAATTAATCATCATCAAAAATATTAATCCTCGTATATTAATATAAGTGCATTAGTACAATTGTACAAAGCATGCTCACTTCAATATTTGATATTTCCTTTAAACTGAGAATTTATTTATTTTTTGATTATAAAAAAAATTCGAAGTATGATATTTAAATACCATCATTTAATCTTTTTATACTATTTAAGAAGTACATTTTTCTTGTGGTAATTTTAATGTAAATTGTTATACAGAATAATTTTCTGATCAAGTAGATTCTGAGTTATTAAATATTAAGGAGATATTATCATATAAGGATGATAATCTAAAAATACTAAAGATATACCATATCTATGGTAATAAGTTTAGCAGAGAAAAAGACTCTGATGATTAAAATTATAGTTATTTATATAAATACCTATATTGATTTATCTAAGTTAATAAGATCATTGATAGCTGGATTAGTGTAAGAAATATTACATATTACATAAAATTATAATATAAATTTCATACTCCTGTGTCGTAATTAATTTAATTTTCGCTTTAAATATTATTATTAGGTACATACTCGTATTATTAAATATTATATATTGTATATAATAATAGGCACTAATGGTATAATAATGACTAAAATCCTTAGTACATATACAATTAATTAAATAAAAAATTTAATAAATCATATTTTGTTTAACAATTTGTCATGAAAACAATTGTTAATAGTATGTATAAAAAGTAACCATTTGGAAATGTATTGTTTAATACTCTATAAATTCTAAAAACCTATATTTGAAAAAACGCAGTACTGAAAGAAAAATGAAGGCGAGCATGTTAATCGGGAAAGACATTTTATCAACGAATCGAAATAATTGAAAATACTCTCGATTCACTCTACACTGTACCGTATGAGTATGAGTCTTACAYATCAATTAATAATTACGATATAGCGGGCCATTTTTTAAGGATGTTATCTTGTGTTCAAATGGACACACAATTAAGTCCAATGGACACCCAGTGGAGTAAGATTTTGYTAACTTTGTGTCCATGGATGTGAATAAATAGTTGTGACTAATTATTATAATATATTTATATAATTATTATTTTTAGATTCTTCTTCTTATATTATATTCTAACTTCTAAGTA